AATGTGTCACCCCCACAGAGGCTCGGCAGGTGTTGCGAGCTATTCATGAAGGCGTATATGGAAATCATTCTGGGGGAAGATCGTTAGCGCACAAAATAATGACACAAAGGTATTTCTGGCCGAACATGTCGAGAGATGCGGAGGAGTTCTCTCGAAGGTGCGATAAATGCCAACGGTATGGACCATTGATCCACCAACCACCTGAGGAATTGCACGTAATGGCCTCACCATGGCCTTTCGCGCAATGGGGGATGGATGTGGTCGGTCCTCTACCAACTGCGAGAGCTCAGAACAAGTATGTGTTACTGGCCACGGATTACTTTACTAAGTGGGTGGAAGCAGAACCATATCCGAGCGTGACTCAGACTCATGTGAGACGATTTATCTGGAGCCATATTATTTGCCGATTCGGCGTTCCAAGGTCAATAGTCATGGATAATGGCACGAACCTCGACAGCAAGCAAGTAAGAGAGCTGCTGGAGGAGTATGGAATTAATCAAAAGTTGGCTGCAGTAAGTCATCCCCAGGCAATGGACAAGCAGAAATTATAAACAGAACAATTTTCGCCTGCATGAAGAAGAAGCTGGAGGACCATAAAGGGAAGTGGTTGGATGAACTCCCGAACGTCCTATGGGCTTACAGAACCACCCCAAGGCGGCCGACTGGGGAGAACCCGTTTGCAATGGCGTATGGAACCGAGGCGGTTATACCGATTGAGCACTTGGTCCCAATTATCAGAAGCTTAACATGGAGTCAAAGTCAGAACGACAGAATGTTAAGATTGAACCTCGATATGATAGATGAAAAGAGGGACGCTGCAGCAATAAGGCTTGCATCATACCAGCAAGTATTGGCGAATAGTCACAACAAAAGAGTGAAACACAGAGATTTTGCCCCTTGCGATCTGGTTCTGAAAAGAAAGGTGGGAATAGTCAAAAAAATGATGCCACCCTGGGAAGGCCCATACAGAATTGCAGAAGTCATAGGGAATGGGGCATATACATTAGAAACCATGGCAGGAAGGTTGGTCAACAAGCCCTGGAATGCTACGTCTCTGAAGAGGTACTATCAATAAAAGCTAAGTTTCAGTTTTATCGGATGTTGTTTGTTTTCAATCAAGTACGTATGAACGTGCAAATTCCTGAGATTTATAAAAATAGCTTTCCTTTTCAAGGGGTTAAAAAAAAAAAAAAAATGAAAAAATGAAAAAAATAAAAAAAGCCAAGTGGCAAGTGGCAATCTAGCCGAGCGCCAGGCACTTAAGCAAGATAAGTGGCAGCTGGCACCATGAGCCGAACGCCAAACACTTGCTAAAAGTAAAAAAGCCAAATGGCAAGTGGCATTCTAGCCGAGCGCCAGGCACTTAAGCAAGATAAGTGGCAGCTGGCACCATGAGCCGAACGCCAAACACTTGCTAAAAGTAAAATAGCCAAGTGGCAAGTGGCATTCTAGCCGAGCGCCAGGCACTTAAGCAAGATAAGTGGCAGCTGGCACCATGAGCCAAATGCCAAACACTTGCTAAAAATAAAAAAGCCAAGTGGCAAGTGGCATTCTAACCGAGCGCCAGACACTTAAGCAAGATAAGTGGCAGCTGGCACCATGAGCCGAACGCCAAACACTTGCTAAAAGTAAAAAAGCCAAGTGGCAAGTGGCATTCTAGCCGAGCGCCAGGCACTTAAGCAAGATAAGTGGCAGCTGGCACCATGAGCCGAACGCCAAACACTTGCTAAAAATAAAAAAGCCAAGCACTCACTCACACGGCAAAGTCAATATGAAAAAGTATTGAAAGTGAGTTTGAACAAAGCATAGTACAAAAAGTCTTATCGTCTCATTCATAATAAGCTTCGAGGTTACAAAAAGTGAAGCATTCAAATCACATGACTACACGAGAGTATGAAATTGAGGGATCTGAAAAGCCCTAGCTAGCTGCCTCAGTACCGTCGGCTTCCTGGTTGTGCTGACTCGCCTCCTCGTTCCCATTAGCCATCTCACCCTCATGAGGTGGGGAATCGAGATGAATAACAGAGTCGTTCTGCTGGGGCCCAATATCAGCAGTGACTATGGGAGATACCATAGTTGACGAAGGAAGAGCGATCAGAGGCTGAACGGTAGAAGGAGCTGTAGTGATCCTGGAGGAAGCAATCTCCTGACACTCATCAAATATGTGCTCGGCTGCGGTGGATTCTGGGTCAACATAAACCCCCGGAGGGTCAATCCCTAGATCCTTATCAATTTCATCCGGAGTTGAACTGGTCTGGCCCTCAGCCGGAACTCGGTCGGAAAAACCATCTCTGAATCCCTGAGCATATCTAAGAGCTCCAACTCTTGAAAACCGAGCATGAAGAGCCAACATGCCACCATTCACTCTGCTAATGGTGTCAATCAGAGCGTTGCGCTCGTCCAGAGCTCTTTTCTCAAATGCCATCCGAGCAGAATGCTCGTCAGCCAGAAGGCGCTGGAGCTTTACCTTTTCATCTCTGATTGAATCGCGCTCAGTCTGCCAGACACTCTTCTCAAGCTGAAGGGCATCTTTTTCATCCTGAAGAGAGTCGTTTTCCTTTTTCAGAGCATCTCTCTCTTTTTCAGCTTTTTCAAACCGAGCCAATATCTCGGTGTTCTTGTCGGCAAGAACTTTGTTTTCCTTATTAGCCACATCCAGGCTATCAGAGAATTTACGGGCCCTGGCGTTCCCCATCTCCACCTGTTTCTGCATAGCCATCATACTGAACAAAGTCTGCATAGATATGCACGAATACTGGTTAAACCCATCGCTTGGTCGGACGAAGGCAAGAGCAAATATTATGAAAAGATTCATGAGTTAGAAAATAAAAGTCACCTCCATGGCAGATTGGGGAAAACGGATGAACACATCCTTTTGTGACAGACTCTTCGCTGCCTCAAGGTCTTTTGGAGTCCACATGCTCCTATAGTACGCCATGGCGGTCTGGCCATCCTTGATCATGGTCTCGTTCGGCTTCACGAACGTCCCATCCGTTCGGGTGTATCGAGGAGCCCATAGTGGTAAAACAGGAGTAGAAGCAGAGGCAGAAGCTGAAGCAGAAGCAGAGGCAGCAGCTGCAACAGGCCCGAAGGGGGCAGGAGCTCTGACTGGGCGATGTAAGAGAGCGCTCGGCCCAGAAACTCGGGTCCTCCTTGTAAGAGATTCCTCCTCGAGGTTGACTCCACCGTCAGGATGAGGTCTTTTGCCTCGCTCTTTATCCTGAACACCCCCAACAGCAGCAGGGGTAGTAGTGATCTGTGGAGATGCGCTCGGGTTGGTAGCAGGGGTGCTAACAACAGGATCAATAACCACCACACTCGGGATAGTGTCAGAGATGGTGGCTGAAGAAGAGGCTGATGCGGGAGAGGAGGTTGCTCCAGCAGCAGTAGTGGCTGGAGGAGGATTTTTCCTCCTACCAAAGGAAGAAATCTGAAGCATGCTCATTGTATAGCCGAGGGATGAGAGCGCTAGAAGGTTGTCTGAAGTGAGGAGGTCTGAGCAAGAAGGAATATCGTTCAGAACGTATTGCTTCAAGTAATTACTCCTATCCCTGCAAACACTGTAGTTCAAGTCATCACAAGGTATGCCTAAGGAGCGACATAAGAAAGTACAAAAGCGAGGAACACATGTTTCGCAGGGACAATCGTTTTTATGAGATTTGAATTTCTTATACGAGGAGACAGAACAGACGCCAAAGGCGCTCGGGATTGGGTAATCCTCTGCAGCCGGCGAAGACCAGGCCCCACTAACACCCACAATGTTATCCCTCCAACCCTTTTCAGATTTGATTGTATCCTTACATATGGACATCTTGTCGATCGGGTAAAGGTGGTAGAATGGCTCTTCAGCTCGGATCTTACTGACCTTATAGCAAAGAAGAAGATCTATGAGGTTAAGATCCAGACCTCTATCACGAATCAGTAATAATATAACGGATATGATTCTAAGGAAATTTGGGTTTACCTGCAGAGGGGATATCCCCAGTCTATTGAAAACATAGTTAAAAAAGGGATGCAGAGGGAACCTAACGACATTTAGTTGAAGGTTAGTAAATAAAACCTCGCCGGGAAGAAGGCCGGCACTGGTCATAATATTAACATCCTTAGGGCAAACCCTAACTTGGATGTCGTCAGGAAGTCTAAGTCTCATACGGAGAACATTTAGATCTACAACCATGGTGAAAGCGTATGAAGGATCTAAAAGAGTAAAAAGAAGCCTACCGAAAGTAAAAAGGAACAAGACTAACCTCTGGGGTAGAAAGCAGCAAAGAGCACTGCAAGATCGCTGGAAGAATGACTCTTGAAGAATTTCACCGGATGAAATTTAGCACTGTTTAAAAAAGATGAGCGAGAGATTTGACTGATGATGGAGAGAGATGGAGACGGTAAAAAGGCATGAAGTGGCATTCTAGAGCCTTATAAAGATGAAGTGGACCCGAGGGCCGAAGCGTCAGGGAGGCGAGAAGTTTATCGAATCCCGGAACATTAATTCCGGATCCGACCGCCCATTCCCCCATAAGAGTTTCTCGAGCCGTCAACGTCACGATGAGACGCCTTTTATAATTACCCCCTTATTAAATAGGGAGTAATTATGGGAGCAATTGAGGATGCCAGAAGTGACATGAGCCGGATATGACCCTCGAACATGGCATCCGGTCCGAGCAGCTGGGTCCAACCCATAGAGAAATACTGTTATATGGGCCGAACGCGAATAGCCCATCAAAGATGACCAAAATCCACAGAGGAACGAGCCCAGATCTAGCAGTCCATTAGTGTTTGTAAGTATCTATAAATATGAGAAGTAATGGATAGAGAAGGGGATGATTCTGTTGAAGTATAAGAATTCTAGAGAGAGAAAATGAAAATGAATTCCTTGCATCTTCAGTAGTCGGTCTCGTGCCCGGTTTCCTCGCTTGTTTGAGATGTCTTTAGTTCCCCTTTATATATATTTTTTGTTTTATGTTTTTATTTTTTTATATTAGCTAATCTGTTGCGCGCAGATGAGGTGACGATCCAAGATCTGGACAAACAGATCTTGGATCTGGCCAAAGATCCAAGGTGCGGCTAAGATAGAAAGGGGGCGGCACAGATATATATGCAGATGGCTTAGAAATTCAGAAGTTGATATTGCTGGAAGAAAAGTTGTGTTAATGGGCCTCTCTTTGAAATAAATAAATCTTCACTCTCGATTTCAATTTCAAATCTTACAGCTTGCTCTTGGGTTTCGGGTTTGGTCACGGAGATCATTTGTGTTGTGCTTCTGACTTAAAGAAGATACTAATCAGTGGACTTGCATTTGGATTTTCTTTTGTGCTCCGAAATTGAGTTCTTTTTAATGTCTAAGAACAGTCTTTTTTTGCATTGATGTGGTGTGGGTGAGTTTGCACCCTTTTTAATTCAGTTTTTGTGCCTTTTTTAATTCAGTAATTTGGTGTTCTTTTGTGGTTTGAAACTACTGCTAAAACCGAGTTCTTTTTAATGTGTAGGCCTTTTTTGGCATTAATGTGGTGTGGGTGAGTGCACCCTTTTTTAATTCAGTTTTTGTGTCTAGCTTGTACCTTAATCTACATGAGTTGGCCCATCTCTTCTTGAAAATCAGATAAATACTAATTTAACTAATTAATTAAACATTTTCTGGAAACTAATCAGATAAATACAAATGATTCTTAAATTTACCATCCAATTTAGCAACAAAGGCTTGGAGCTTATTACCAACCATCTGAATCAGCCCATTTGAAGCCGAAAATGTGAGATGTAATTCAATTAGGGCTCCAATTGAAGAACCATCAGTCAAATCATGAACAGGTGATGATTCGGTGTTGGAATAAAAACTTCGGAGCGATATGATATGTCTTGATTTAGGGTTTTATGTAACGGTTGTCTTGCAGGAAGGGTTTTGGAATCAGCATAGATTCTCACACTGTTTCTTATTTTTTTCCCTTCATTTATTTGCCGCTCCACATGGTAAGAGAAACGACGACGTGTACAATTCAAACGCATCAACTAGCCACATCCTTTCTTTATTCCTTCTTCTCCTCTCTGTCCGCTTCGGGTCAATTTGAGAAACGTATTGCAATTAAAAATTATTAAAAATTGTTGTGGAAGATTTCAATCATGTCAAAGGTAGTTTTAGATGTTTACGTTAGTTCACTAAAACAACATTAAGGTTATGAGGTAAATCTGACTTATTTATGACTAAAATTATTGTGGCCCCACAAAGTGTTTAAGACGGCCCACGTTGGAATGTGTTCTTCTCTGAGTTGGTGCACGGTTGGCTCGATAGCGCTACTCAGCCAATTTCATTGTTTTGTGATCAGCAACTTCAGTCTTTTGATCAAACGGCTATTGTTTTTTTCTCAATCTTTTGCCACTTCAAAGAATCACAACACAGTACAGTATCTGCTATCAGCAATTTTTCAACTAATTTTTATTTTTAGTTCTTCAAACTCTGTTTTGGAAAAGCACTTGTAACACAGTACAGACTCTGTTATCTGCAGCTTTTATATATACAGTAGCAAACTAGCTGTAAAGTGTAAAACACAATGTGATCAGTCTCCCATCTTTTTGTGATCAGTAACATCAGTCTTTTGATCAAACGGCTAATATTTTTTCTCAATCTTTTACCACTTCAAAGAATCACAACACAGAGCACGTCTTGTCTGACCTCTGTCATATGCCAGTCAAAAGTGACTTCTTGAATCTTGACTGGTTAGTGGCATGTAAATATCATTATCTGTCCTTTATATAATATGCTTGTGGTTATTAGTAATTTGTCATTAGAGATTAATATTCTAGTTTTATGCTGTATATAGCAAGACCTATCATCAGTATATACCAGTATATGATTTCAATTTACATCACGAGTCCATCTCTAAGATGGTCTAATGAAAGAGAATATTATTAATTCTAATGATTGACGGGCTCAAAATTTAATTAAAGAAGAGGCCACTTGCAATGCATACTCAAGTCGTTGGTAAATTATTCGAGTTGGACTCTTTTTGAGCTCGGTCTGTGTTAATTTATTTACTTAACGAACTAAGTTCAAACAAAAATATTGAACTTATTTATTAAACGAGATAATCTCAAACATTCTTTGTTCACGAGCATGTTTAGGAATAGCCTAAAAGATTCATTTAGTTATTCATCTTTAGGTCAAAAAAAAATATTCGCATTTGCGAATGTTAGGAAAATATATGAGGCCCCGTCTAACCCAAATATGTATGATGATATATAAATGTATTTGCGTATGTGAAGTGTATTTATATGAGTTTTGAGCACAGCTCGAGTGAGTCTTTTTTTATTTTTTGAAAATAATTGAGTTGAGTTCGAAAACAAAGTTTGGAACTCAAGTTGAGCTGGAATGCTCTTATTACAAGACCGAGTCGAGCTTGACTCAGTTTCAGCTTGAGCTGAGTTCGAAAACAAAGTTTGAAACTTAAGTCGAGCTCTAACACTCTTATTGCAAGACTAAGCCAATGAGCCGGGCTTGAGTCAGTTGTAGCCTGAGCATAAGCACCATAAAGCTTTTCCATTCATTTTTCCCCACTCTCAGGCAGGGGTAGGCACATGCTGGCCCACTAGAAATGTTTTTTTTTTTTTTTTTAATAAATTTGTAGAAATTAATAAAATACCCCCCCTTAAAATTAATAAAATAGCCTCTCTCTCTTGAATCTATTAAATTTTATTTTATTTTAAACGTATAATTTGTAAATATTTATAAAATTCCCAATAAAATTTATAAATTATCCCCCTAAAATTATGTGTTTCTAAAAACGTCTTTAAATCTTTATTCCTTTTCCTTTTCATACTTCAAATTTTTTTGTGTCATCTTAAAAAATTTTTGCATTCTCTTTCTACAATTAAAACCTATTTTTTTCTTCAAAATTCTATCATATATATATATATTTATTTCAGTTTTATCTTAAATTTTTTTTTTTTCTTGCACTCACGTGTAATTTATGTGTAATAACCTCTTTCTTTTTTTTTATTTATTTTTTTCTCACTTATTCTAATACATTGGTATTAGGCTATTATATTTTTGACCTGTTTAAAAAAAATTTATTTTGTCATACCCAAACCAAACTTGGCTCGGCCTTGCCCTCATGTCTCATGCAACAAAAAGCAGTAGTTGTTGTGAGTTGTCACAGTACAGCGTCTGGCATCATAAAGCAAAACGAGCTCTAAACACCATCAATGCTAAAGAAACTTTCTTCTGATCAACGTCATCAATCTATATGCATCCAACGGCTTATATATATATTTGCATTACCAGCCAAAACGAACCTTTGATTCTTTGACTAGTTGGTGCAAAGAGTGTTACTGCTACTAAGTCTAACACCAATCACTCAAGATTGCATTCACTTGAGAGTTAAAGGAGTCTCTCTTTAAATACAGCACGGCCCTTTTTTTCTCTCCAGTCTAATTTCTCAAGAGAGAAACTTTGGAGGGAGAGAGAGAGAGAGAGTGTTGAGAGAGAATGAGGCTACTCCTTATTCACATCAATGGCTTCCAAACCTTCCATTAATTGTAGAGTTTTTCAGTGGGTAAGCTCTTCTTTGCCCTCTTCATTAACTATTCTCGTTAATGCTATCCAGTTATTAAATATTTTATTTGTTGATCTTTATAATTCAGGTAATAAGAAATTTCTCAATCACAACAATCTTGAAATGCATTTTACTTTGTCTGTTTGCGTCACATATTAATAATTGTTTTTCTCACTTCATATTACATTGATGCATTTGTTTTTCATTATTATTGTTGAAAAGAAATTCATATCTTACTTTTATTGTTGTTTCTCATGAATTTAAAGTTGTTATTACCGTCTTCAAGGTTAGTTATTATTATATTTTTTTGAGGAAAATTATTTCTTACATCCTTTTTATTGCCAGAACATTATCATGACCAAATTTGACTTATTTATGATTTTATTTTATTATTTTTTTTTTTTTTGCATACTTGTTAAACATTTCATTACCCAGAAACCATATCTTACCCAAATTGTTCAATTGAAATTTTATAAATAAATCAATGAGTAGTGACTTTTAAATCACAATTTCTAGAGAATATAATAAATATGTCGCTCATCAAGAATTTATGCAAAGAATATTACGTGACAAAAGAAATAAACTAAGCTAAGCTAAACTAAACTAAACTAACCTGTGCTAACAAAAAATTTGACTTTCACTCTGTGCAAATAAAGAAATTCTTACTCCCATAATTTGAAATTTAATTTATTCAAGTCCATATATATATATATAAACTTTTGCATATGTAATTTTGTAAAAAATTTAATAGAATTCCCCTCCTAAAATTCTCTATTTCTATTTTTTTTTCTTCTCCTCCTTCTTTTAATTTTTTTCTCTTCTCATTTATTTATTTTATCATTGCACTCATACATGATATATGTCCAATAACCCTTTTTTTTTTTTTTTTTTTTGTCTCTCTTATTCGATTTTTTCTTTTCTTTTCTTTTATTCTTTAAATATAACTTCAATTTTATAAACTTAATGTTCAAATTTTATATTTTTGAGTTTTTTTATTACATATTTTCTAAAATAATGACATATATATAGTATTTGAACCTTGATTTCGGTGCAGTGCACTCAAGTGAATCGGGTCCTTGGAGTCATCAACCCTCTATTATATAACTTAAAAATATAATATTTTCACAAGCATTTGTATAAAAGAAACATAGCATAATTGTACATTAGCATGAAACTCTCATGCATGTTCTGAGGTAATGTTATTGGCATTTAGCCAACAATGTGATTAGTTGTATGAAACTCATAGGGCTGCATGAGTTGTAACTCTGATAATAAAAAATTGTACTAAAAACTTTGTTTAATTCAATGTTTTAAAAATTATTTTATGAAAATTCATTTATAAAAAAATTTATTTTTAGATAATTGTCTTTTATAATTATTTAAAAATATTTTTTTATTTTTTGAATTGTTGTCAAATAATTCATGCAACAGGTGGTCGCATTGAAAGAGTTGTTACGATTTCTTCCTCATAACCAGGGGTATTTCCTCATACCCATCTAAATTTTTTTTAAAAAAAATCATACAATAACGTTGGTTGCGTACGGAACATCATCTGCAACCTCTGTAGTCCGACAAAGAACGTTGGTTTTTTTATTTTTTGAAAGGTTAAATGAATTTATTGCAAAAAGAAACAGTACATCACCAAAGGGAGAGGGCTCAAGAAAAGCCCAACTTAACAAATTACAAAGACAACCCAAAGATGACAAGCCCAAAGCCAACAACCCAATACACAATTGAGAGCAATGGACGCCGTTACCAGCAGAGCATTCGGGTCAGCGCATGGAGGAAACCTCCGCATTTAGGTACTTCGCCGGAGGACGCAAAACAGAGCATGGCAGATTCCATTCTTCAACAATCTGTCTTCCGGTGGTAGAATCCTTAATGGAGGTAGATAGGAGTTTAGAAGAACGTTGGTTGCTGGAACTATTGAATGGATATGTAATCATCTCAACTTCTGGTTTGATATAGTTTCCTTGATTAAATAAAAAGATAAAACAACCTTGGTTGACGAACTTGCCGTTGCCTATGGAACTTGGAATCGTGTCAGGCAATCTCTTGTTTGATCTAATTTTGGTTTGATTATATTTGAGATGTTTGATCTAATTCTGGTTTGATTAGGTTTGCGAATTGGGTTTAAAGCATGTTATTTAGGGACGTTTTTGGAATATATTTTTTAACTAGATAATAAAAAGGGTATTTTTTAGTTTTGAAAAGTTTCATCCTATATCAACTCGCCCAAGAACTTAAATGTTTAAGAGACTTTGAAATTTTGCTAAATATTGCCTTTACAAAAGAATGTTTTATTTTCTTTTAACTGAAAAATAGACCAGAGACCACGCACTACGTAACCAGAAAAAAAAAAAAATTAAAAAACAAAAGAAGAAGACGCAACTAGACCAGAAAGGCAACCAAACAATACATAACTAGACCAGAAAGACGGACATAACCATATCAGAAAGAAAACCAGACCATGAACCATTAAACACATGCTGCTGGTTGAGCTCTAAATAAAAAATTAAAATATATTATGTAGAAGAGGTAGGGAATGGAAAGTTTTTGCTACGAATTGTGTCTCAAATTTCTATTATTTTCATTTTATTTATGAGTTTTAAACCTAATTCTTTTTTCTTTTATTTTTAAAAATTTTATTTCTACGTTTCAATTAGGAATTGTGTTCTAGTTAGTGGATTTTTGGCCACTTGGACGTCTCGGAATGATATAGACGGTTGGATGCACACGTGGAAGCTAGTGGATTGTGGTTAATGCGTCGCTTTGCAGTGACAGCTTAGGTGCTTGCCCCTGTCTCAATCAAATCCTGAATGAAATGCGCTTCTCTGAGTTAGTGCATGGTTGGTTCGAGACTGCTGAGTCGGGTTTGCTGGCTCATTAGGATAACCGTTGCACTCAGAATAATAATGAAATACCGCAAACAATGGTATAGCTGATGGTTCAAAAATGATGTGCTTGTTTGGGTTTATTGAACTGGTCCAATCATTGGCGGTTCGGGTTGACCAAGCTAGTGTCATACCAAACCCGAACCGGTACCGGGAAATCTTTAAATATCTCCATAGGCTGCAATTTTTGTTGGTTCCGTTGTCTTTTTCTCTCTTACTATATTTGTTCTGCATACATAGTTTGAGTTCGAGTGTTTGGTATAAGAGAGTAAACAGAGTTTGACTCGATTTGCTATTATGATAGAAGAAAAAAGTCTTTGTATCTTGAGAGACAATCACGATTAGAGATTTATCTATCTATTCTAAAAGATTAAGTATTAAAGAGAATATAACTTAAGTATATAAATCATTCAACATGTATATTTATGTATGGCTTTTTTTTTTCTCAAACGCTTGTTTTTTTAATTAGGGTGACGGTAAATTTTAAATAAAATATTTTAAATTTTTTCAAAAAATAAAACTTTAATATATAAATCCTTTACCAACATATCTTGCTTCCTGAAGCAAACTACATGTAATGACAAGAAACTTTAGTGAGATCAACATTCAAACGGCTTATATCTTTTCTCTTCTATCATCATTTCAATCCTCGATCTTCCACACTGACATGTCACGAGACTCGAGCACCTGTGTACATTACCAGTCAAGACTGACCTCTGAGCTTTTGACTAACAGGTGCAAGGAGTGCACTGTTAATTTAAGTCTAACAACCACCACTCTAAAGTGCATTCATTCACTCGAGAGTTATAGGAATTTACACATCCGTCTTTAAATACAGAATCCCTCTTTTTCTCTCCATTCTAATTTTTTAGAGAGAGAAAGTGTTAAGAGAGAATGAGGATACCCCTTGGTTCACATCAATGGCTTCCATTGTAGAGTTGTCTTTCTTCAAAGTGTAAGCCCTTCTTTGCCACTTCATTAACTATTCTTGTTAACGCTATCCAATTTTTTAAATATTTTATTCTTTGATTTATAGGTAATGCAGAAATTTTCAATTACAAAATGGTAGAACTCAAGTGAAATAAGTGGTGTCGGAAAAAATTACAGGTACGTGTCATTAAATGGATTTTAATTTTTCTGATCATGTTACATCTTAAGATGTAATTGTTTTTTTAATGTGCTAATTTTTTTTCTTCGTATTATTATACTGTTGCATAACTTTATTGTTGTTTTTCATTGAATTTCATAGATCAGTATTTGCGCCATTCTAGCAACATACTTTAATTTCTTCTTACAAAATCTCTTAAAGGCGATTTAGTTTTACTGCCCTTAAGATGAGTACGTGATCCATTTAACCAAATGTGAGTTGTAGTACTTGTAGTTGTTTATTAATATTTTATTTTATTTTTTATTATTATTATTTTTTTGACATGAAAATTATTTATGACATCCTTTATGGACCAAATTTGACTTATTTATGACTTATTCGCGTATACTTGTTAAACGTGCATTCATTTCCCATAAACCAATAAATTATCCATATCTTACCTAAACTGTTCCATGGTAATTTTGTATAAATGAATCAATGAGTAGTGAATTTCTAATCAAAACTTCTTAAGAATATTATAATGTAAATGTAGGTTATTTAGAAATTATATTTTGCTTATAACCTAATCTTATGATACACTACTTAAATTGCTAAATAATGTTGTAGTTTATAACAGTCATAAAGTCAATGAAAACCATTTATAATAGCATAACTGAGCAAATTTGTTCTTGTACAAAGCAAGTATTATTATTATTATTTTAAAATAGAATAAAATTTATATTTGATTAAAATGTTTGACATTATCAACTTAGAGCATATATTGTAGAGTAGAGGAGATTAAAATTTAAGTAACTCACCCACACATTGAATTGAATTGTTTATAATTTTTTAAATACAATTAATTTTCAAGGATATACCTCATTTTGTGTCAACTAATTTTTACAGGGTTACTCGAATATCCATGGTGTGCGCGCCGCTAAAAGAAGATTCCTCCAAGCATATCTTTTTGCCATTGGCGCCACCATTGCCGCCTTTCTTATCTATCTTATGAACAATGG